AAGAGTAACCCACATTGGCTTTAGAGAACAAATGTTGATGAAATAATTGTGGAACTGGATCAATACATGATGTGTTGGTGGAAGACGAGAGGGCACTGCAGGTGGCGCAGGCTGTGGGCAACATGCCCGGCTCGCTGAGGCTTGTGATCAGGGAAACACAAGACGCTCCTGGCCAATTAGGGACATGTGGAACCTCTAGCAAGTATCGGTTAAGAGATGGGAAGTTCTTCCGCAGCTTCTGGTGGACTATTGGGTCCTTGTAGGGCTGAGCATATGTTTAGGACATAGTAAGTGACTATCTTACTGAACTTGACTATTTTTGTGATAATATGGGTGTTTTCAATCTCCCCAATTACCTATGGAGGGAGCGTATCTGTCTTTCTGATGACAGCTTTAGCATATCAGGGAATAGGCTGGAGAAAGTTCAGAAAGCTGGAGCAAACGACAGGAACAGGGGTTCCAGATCCGCACGGCACCTACATCTCTTTTTCCAATAATTTTTAATCAGTTCACGTCAGGGGCCTCACAGGGGTATTAAAAAACTGGTTGACAGAGGAAGAAAAAAAATCTCATTCTCATTTCAGTATCTTAGCTGCAGTTTTAAAAAATTCATTATTGTGCTTGCTTCAGCAGCACGTATACTAAAATTGGAACGAAACAGAGAAGATTAGCATGAACCCTGTGCAAGGATGACGTGCAAATTCATGATGTGTTCTGTATTTAAAAATAAAATAAAGTAGTTAATTTAAAAAATTTTTTTCAAAACAGAAAAATAAATTATTTATTTCATGTTATTGTACAGTTAGACTTAAAGTCAGCAGGGAAGGGTGAGAAGTATCCCTGTGAGTGTGTGGGCAAACAACACAGCTGGCTTTCCACCTTGAGAGAGAGAAGTGTCAGCCCCCCGCACCTCCCCCCCCGCCCCAGTGCCTTTGCTGGGGCAAAGGACTCCGGTCAGGGATCTAGATACTATAAAGCTGGACGTTTAGAGACAAGAAAGTGTGAGGAAGAAGCATGTGGGTTTGTTTAGAATGGGCATAAAGAAGGCAGATATTTATATTTGTGATTGAGTATCACCAGACAGGATTTCTTCAGAAGTCCTGGTTGACCCTTGTCAACATTCTGACATCCAGGAATCCCAACCAGCCTCTTCCTACATCACCCATAAAATAAGGCATAAGGCAGAGGGACAGGCTTCCAGCACCTTAGGGGAGCGTGAGCTTCCTAACTCTCAAAGAGAGACAATTCTGTGGATTGTGCATCTCTCTGGTCCCAGGGGAAAAAGCCGTTCCTGACATCTCAACTACACACAGGCATGGACTCCTCCTCTCTCCGTTCATCCTGACTCTCTCCCATCTCCGAGGGTCACCTCCCAGATTTCTGCAGTCAAGTTCATGACTTACGTTTGTTTTCCCTGTTAATCTAAACAAAACCAGATGGCATCAAATATTAATAGTATCAACACTGTTCAAGAATCTTCAGTTTATCATTGGCCAAAATATAGTTGCTTACAATGATACTGATGATATATTGCTTGTGATGCTGATTATAACAGTTACAATCATTGTAATGGTGAGGAAATGAAAGAAAGGATAAAAAGATCGTGCATACAGAAAGTTCTTTGACCCTTTCACGCACTTCTGAATATCTGTTCAATTTTGAAACCAGGTTATTTTGTTGGCATGCTTGATGAATTATTCTCATCATTGCTAGAACCCTTCAGAACGTAGTGTTTTCTCTTTTTTTTTTTCTTTGGAGAAAGTATTGAGTGTAGACAGGCTGTTCCTTACTGTTTTTTTTAATTGCAATGTGTTTTATAGACTGAAATTTCCAGTTGTTTGTGGCAAATATATAGAAATGGTATTGATTACTTTTTTTGATTGACCTCATATCCTGTAGCTTTGCTAAACACATATTTGTTCTGGAACTAATTAGTTTTGTTACAGCTTTATTGACATGCAATTATATAGTATAAATATAGTTTTCCATCTTTCTTTTCAATCTGTATATAAATATATATACACACACACACATATATATATATATATATATTTTTTTTTTTTTACCATTTTTGGCTAGGGCTGGGTTTGAACCCACCACCTCTGGCATGTGGGGCCAGCACCCTACTCCTTTGAGCCACAGACACTGCCCACAATCTGTATATTTTTTAAATTTCTATTTCTTGTCTTCTTAATAGTGCTTAGGACACCCAATACCACGTAAAATGAAAGCTCTCTGTGTGGATGCTTTATCTTTACTCTGATTTAAGGAGAAAACCTTTCATCTTTCACCAGTAAAAATGTCAAGTGAAGGTTTTCCTAGGGTCTTTTCATCAGATTGAGAAAACTCTCTCGTATCCCTCATTTGCCAAAGTTTTCCTTAGGAGTAGATTTTAACAAGTGTTAAAACGATCGTGTGCTTGTCTCTACTTCCTTCTATGGCTACATTGAATTACATTTTACTGAATTTAGAAATATTAATAGTACGGAGTAAGCATAGGCCAGTCTCTAGTGCTCTACCTATGTTACTCCGCCACAGTTCTGAGAGATAAATGATACGTTCATCACATATCACAGGGAAAACTGAAGTGTATATATAATTTCAGTACCTTTGATAAGGGCATACAACTTGTGATTGGGGGGAAAAAAAAAAACCAAGATTTTAACCTGTGTTATTTGATTGACCACAGAGTCCAGGTTCTGAAATGCATCATGCTTGGGGAGGGGCAGCTTATGACAGAGAGGAGAGGAATTTAAATTTAGGTACCTGTGACATAAGCTTGGGAAGAAGCACCACAGCAAAGCAACAGATATTACACTCTGGAGTTTGGGGGTGAGTTTGAGTTAGAAAAACAAATATCTGAAATGTCAAGGGTAGTGCTGTTTAAAACTATAGAACTCTGTGGGATTACCTAATAACAAGCACCGGTGAAAAAGGAAAAGCCTGATTTATTTTGTTCACAAAGCGGTATCCCAGCATTTAGGAATCGTAAAAGGGACAAGGAGCAGTAAGTGAAAGAGAAATGGAGCAGTTTGGAAGAAAAAAGCCAAAACCAGAGAGAACAGTGCCACAAATAAGTCATAAAACTCTGTGCATCAATAACTCACTCCTTCTAAGACTTTGAAACTCTTGAACGGTTGAATTTCCATGCCTAGAATGTGAAAGCATTCTGACACTAACAAGACTGGGGTATGGGGGTGCTGTGGAATGCTATTAAATAGCTTTACTCTGAGGGAAGGAAGTTCATGGAAACTCACATAAAAATGTGAAGTTTGATGTATTTTTAGTCATTTCAGTGGTGTGAAGATGTTTAGTAACTGCAGCATGGAAGACTTTGCACATTTTATTTCAAAGCAGAAGTCCCAGTGTCTCCAAAACCATCCTCGCTTAGATCCATCTTACAAGCAGAACGCAGTTTGCGGGAACAAGGTGGTGGACGCAGGAGAGGACTGTGATTGTGGAAGTCAAGAGGTTGGTACCGACCTGGAGGAAAATGTACAGGAATCGCACTCAACATGATTCATCAATGTTTATAGCATGACACTGCCGTTTTCCTTGGTTTATCAAGCTAATGTTTTTTGCAGAGGCTTGAGGAAGGCCCGTAGGGATTATTAATAAACTAACAAATGCATTTATGCATATATTGGTATACAGATTCAGGTATTTGTAACTCCACGTGGAGTTGTATGGATGTACAGGTAATGTCTTTTCCTTACGCCACCTTTATTGAGATATAGTTGATAACTAAACACTACATATGTTTAGTTGTATACGGCAGCTCACACTTGTAGTCCCAGAGGCTGAGGCCGGGGGAATCTCTTGTGCCAAGGAGTTGAAGGTTGCAGTGAGCTACCATCCACCATTGCATTCTAGAATTGGCAACAGAAGGAGATTTTATTGCCAAAAACAAAACAAAGCAACTAGAGAAAAAAATTAAGCTGTACAACTTGAAGATTTGAGCATATGGTATGTGTGTACATTGTAAAATAGTCACCTCGTTCAAGCCAATTAACGTATCTGTAAACTCACATAGTATTTCTTTTCTGTTTTTTATTTCTGTTTTTTCTTCTTGGTGAGAACACTCAGGTTCTACGGCCTTAACAGATTATAAGTATACAATGCATATTGCCAGTTATGGTCATTTGTCTTGTAGAAATGAATCTTTGCACCTCTTGAGAATCATCTCATCATTTTGCTCTTCCCTATAACCACCATTCTAACCTCTCACACAAATAAGGTTGCTATTCCTTATATTTAATATCTGAGGTGATGTAGGTTTGCTGTCTTCCTCTGGAGTGTACTTTTCGCTTCATATTCAAAGGTAAAATTTAAACCTGGTGCTTCACCTAAAGCCCTCTGACATTCTGAAGGATGGTCACAAACCTTTCACTATGGAGCAAGAAAACGGGGCAGGAGACATTGTGGTTTTTAAATATTTTGATCTAGGTCAGTATTTAAGTCAAAAGGATTTGGAACCTATGAAATAAAGCAGCACTAGTTTATGCAAATTGTGGGCATCTTAGGGAAAGTGGCTGGGTTGAAAGAAGGTGAGAGGAGTAGAGAAAAGGGAACAGCATGAGGAAGAGAGGCATCGTGAGACTCAGTAGTGAGTGGTGACCTGGGAAGCAAGAGGGTGTGAGCGGAGCTCCGAGCTCCCCACAGCCACCGCTGAGGTCACATGCGCACTCTCCCCAGCATAAGAAGTACGTTTCTAGGTGTGATGTGTATTTAAGAAATTATTCCCCATCACCCACTTGTTTTTGCTTGGTTGAGCTTGAATAGGAACAACTTGAAAATTTCTGCTAAAATTGGGCACTTAGTGTATCTGTGCCCCATTAAATGCTTTATCATTGTGTCTTAAGCCAATATGATAGAATGTTTCCTTCTAAAATTCCATACAGATAGCAGTAGCAATGACACGTAGAATAACTGGAAAATATTGAAAATCCTGTGTCTTAGTAAACATCTTGCTGTAACTCAGATTAAGACTACTGATATCTACGTTTTATTTTAGCACCCTCTAATGAATTTTTCCCCCAATTAACATTATTTCAAATCCGTGGGAATTTAAAAAAAATGTAAACCTGTATATGTATGTGAACACATTGCCCCCCCACCTTCTCTTTTATTTTCTATTGCTTTTATTAACCCTAGTAGAAGAATTTTTAAAAGCAGATTCGCTGTGTATAGATGGACTGTAGCATAAAACAGGGCAGGGGAAGTTACAGGCAAATGACATAAAAAAGTGACAACTTCAGCCATGCTCAGAAATAATACTATTTCTTTATTATAGGATTAAAAAAGAAATAAACTTTTACTATACCCCCAAAATGCACCACATTTTAAAATAGTAAATCCAGCAGGATTGAGTGAGAAGTAGTCACTACAATGAAATGTTAAAATTATCTCTTCTGTTTGTCATTCTGTCTTGTATTTAACCTCTTTTGTCTACAAGAGCCAGAGACCATCTCAGCCTGGTGCTGAATCCCAGGGCTTCAGAGACTCCTATTCCCTATATAGCCAGACCTACTCTAGAAATATAAAAAATCCACATGGTCTTACATTTTGTAGGTAACTTATGAATAAGTCTCTTAATCTTTTTTTTTTTTCTGTTTGGCAACATGTATGTTAAACATCTATGTGTGTGTTATGTTGTGTTTCTGTGTATACTATGTGTATCGCGCTAACACCATGAAAATGTGTGTCCAATATAAATACAAGTTAGAAGACAGGTCAGTGTATTCTGTTTTCCTTTCAGAATTGTCCTGATAATGAAGCAAACTGCTGCAATGTTGCAACATGTAAGTTCACAGATGGCTCGACTTGTTACAAAGGAGTCTGCTGCCAAGACTGCCAGGTAAGAGCTTTTAAAAAATGTTTCTATTTACCAACATAAGTAATGCTGTCATTCCCTGTGCTTCTGTGCTCTCATTCTGCTTTATTCAATATTATTTACTTTGCCCCATCAGTTTAAGGGAAAAACAGAAATATGTAGGACGGCACTAGATGACTGTGACTTCCCTGAATATTGCAACGGATCATCGTCAGAATGTCAGGAAAACTTCGTTGCTCAGGATGGGACGCCATGTGGGATGGACCTGTGGCTCTGTATTGGCGGCGAGTGTAAGAGCGGGGATAAGCAGTGCATATCCACGATTACTGGCGGTATTCATTAGAATCCAATTTCTCGTTTGTATCAGCGTTTTCTGGAAACGAATGAAATAGATGTTGATATGTGATTTTTGACTTTTAAAATAGGGTGGTTTTAATTTAAATGTTGTAAAAAAAATTATAGAAAAAGAAGAGGAATACTGTAATATATATGTGTGTGTATGTGTGTGTGTGTGTGTAAGTAACCTGAAATTACAATTTTGAATTATTTCCACAAAATAATGGATGGAAGAGTACAAAGTCTATAGGCCGTCTGAGCTTAAGTTAGACTGAGCACAAGCGACGCCTCCTCCAACTCCACCTCCACGGAGTTGTTGGTAAACACAGAGCAAGAAAATATGTGCAGGTAAAAACAGACATTAAAAAGATCCCGAGTATAATTTTAACCAGTCCTGTGTGTCTCCACGTGTGGGGACTACGACGGGGACTCATGGAAATCCAGAGTCTGTAGCATTGTTGAGACTTCACGAGCACTGAAGTTGAAAACTAAACGAAAAACCATGGCACATAGGGAATGGTTTTGCTGAAGAGTATGGAGCCCACACTGTTGGCCATAGTATTTCATGCCTCTATCAGAAGAATCAAGAGGCATTGACAGAGGAAATATGAAGAATATTCATTTAAAAAAAAAAAAAAACAACCAAGCAGATCAACTTTTTTTCTCAACTAGTACACGTAGCAAGTCAAACTCTAATTTCCGTGTCCAAGGAAATGTGTGTTGAACAATGGTTATCAATTTCCAATTTTTTTTTTTTTTTGAGACAGAGTCTCAAGCTGTCATCCTGGTAGAGTGCCATGGCATCGTAGCTCACAGCAACCTCCAACTCAGGCTCAAGTGATCCTCTTGCCTCAATTTTTCTATTTTTACTAGAGACAGGGTCTCGCTTTTTGCTCAGACTGGTCTCGAACTCGTAAACTCGAGCACTCCACCCGCCTCAGCCTCGCCAGAGTGCTGGGATTACAGGTGTAAGCCGCCCCGCCTGGCCCCAATCGATATTTTTAAAGATCCAGATGTTTATTTCACCGATTTTTCCTACTATTGTTTGGCTTTCACTTTCATCAATATTTTCTCTCCTATTAATAATTTCTCTTCTACCTTTGGCTTTATCTTTTTGTTTTCCAGTGTCATAAGGTGGAGGATTAGGTCGTTGTTTAAAAAGAAGCAGGGGTGCTACAGACCTTCCTCTGGCTAGTTGCTTATCTACATCCACACAATGTTGATATGAAATTCTAAATATTTCCTCATAGCTAATATTCATTTTGCCTTTATACCTAGTTTATTTAGGAGATCACAGCTTCATTTTAAAGTATTTGGGACTTCTTTAATAATAAGTTTAATCTTATTATGGTCTGAGAGACACTCATATAATTCCAATATTTACTACTTTATTGAGTTTTTATTTCATGTCTTAAAATATCATTTGCCTGAATGTTTTAATGGACTTGAAAATGTTGTGTTCTGCCCTTGCTACTTTTAGCATTCTATGAAATAAATGTCAGTTAGTTCAAGTTAGCTGATACAGTTTTGTAAGTATTGTGTATCTTTATTTTTATATCCTCATTATATCAATTACTGAAAGAGATATGATGAAAATTTCACCCATCATTATGAATCTGTCTGTTTTCAATTTATTAGTTTTTGCTTCAGATATGTGAAGGTCTAAATTTAAGTCCATATACATTCAGGAGTTTTATGTTACTTATGAAATCAACTGTATAATGTCACTTTGTAATGTCCCCCAAAATATTCCTTCTTAGGATGTATACTTTATCTCTTACAAACATAACAAGTCCAGATTTCTTTTTGACAAGATATTGCATTAGAGGATATATCTAATACAAAGTTTATTGAATCATTATTATTCAATTTTTAACAGCTTTATTAGGATATATTTCACCCATTTAATGTAGCATGCAGGGATTTTAGTATAGTCATAGCTCTAAAACCATCTCCACATTATAATTTTAAATTACCAGATGTAAAATAAAAAAGCTCAGCAGGGTAGGTGGCTCACACCTGAAATCCTAGCATTCTAGGGGGCTGAGGCAGGGGAATCCTTTGAGTTCAGAAGTTCAAGACCAGCCTGAGCAAAATTGAGACCCATTTCTGTTTAAAAAATAGACAATTTAGCCAAGTGTCCTGGGGGGGTGTCTGTAGTTCCAGCTCCTCAAGAGCCCCAGGAATTTGAAGTTGCGGTAAGCTAGGCTGATGTCACAGCACTCTAGCCTGGGCAACAAAGTAAGACTCTGTCTCAAGCAAACAGAAAACCTTCTGGACCATTAGTAGACATTCCATATTCCCATTCACCCTTAGTCCCAGACAAACACTAATCTATTTTCTGTGCCTATCCATTTGCTTATTCTGAGAATTTTATATAAAAAGAATTACATAACATATATATAGTCCTGTGAGAATATCCTTTTTCGAATATTATAAAATTTCTGAGGTTCCTCCATGTTCTTGCATATGTCAGCAAATGACATTTCATTGTGTAGACACACCCCATGTGTTTATCTTTTCCTTAGTTGATAGAAATTTAGGTTGTTTCCACCTTTTGGATGTTGTGAATAGCACTGCTACATACCAGCTTCTGTGAAGACCCAAGATTTTAATTTTGTTGGTGACACAGCTGAGAGTGGAATTGCTGGATCATGTGATAACCATATGCTTAAGATTTTGAGCAATGCCCAAGCCATTTTTCAAAATGACTACACCATTTAAATTTTAGTCATCGTTGAAGGAAAGTTGCAACCTCCCCGTATCCTCCTCCCAAATATTTATTATTGCCTGGCTTTTTTGACTATAGCTGTTCCAGTGGTTGAAAAGTGATATCCCATTGGGGTTTTGACTTTTACCTAGTGACTAATGATGAACATCTTTTCATACGCTTATTGACTGATTACAGTGCCTTCTATTTATTTTATTTTATTTTTTTAATAAGAAATGTCTATTAAAGCCCATTGCCTGTTTCCAATCAGGTTGTTTTTCTATGGAGCTGTCATAGTTCTTTCCAACTATGTTACACCATACTCTGGATAAAAAATTATTGTCAAATTCACGTTTCACAAATATTTTCTCCCATTTTGTTGATTATCTCATCCCATTCCTAAATGGCCTTCTTTGAAGAACGAAGTTTTAATTTTGATGAAGTCTAATTTGTCTCTCTTTTTTTAACCTTTTGCGCTTATAATAATTATTGTCATATCTAAGAAATCACTGCCTAATCCAAGGTCAGGAGTTGTTACCAGGTTATCTTTTAGAAATTTTACAGCTCTTTGCTCCTAAATTTGGGTCTGTAATCCATCTTGAGTTAATTTTTGTGTACCGTGTGAGGAATGATTCTAACTTAACTCTTGGGCGTGTCGATATCCAGCAGCATTTGTCCAGAAGACAATTAATCCCCGATTTCACTGGCTTGGCCCTTCTGCTGAAAGTTGTTTAACTGTAAAAGTAAGGACTAATTTCTGTGCTCTCAGTTCTATCCACCGCTCCCTGTGTATGTGTATTCATGGAACGTTGATTTGATTATTGTCACTTTGTGGTGAATTTTGAAGTCAAGATTTGCCAGTAATCTTACCTTTTTCTTCTTTTTGATATTATTTTGATCATCTGGATTTATTGCATTTCATGGATTTTAGGATCGGTTTTGACAGAAAGTGCAGTTGGAATTTTGATAGTAATTGTATTAAATCCGTACATCTGTGGTTTTAGGTTTAGTATAATAGTTCCAAGCTATGAACCTAGGGTATCTTTCCAATTAATTGGAACTATTTATTTCTTAAATGTTTCTTGTTTTTAAATTATCCATGTGCAAATTTTGCACTTCTCTTGTTAAATTGAGTGCCAGGTACTTAATTCTTCTTGATGCTATTGTAAATGGGTTTTTTCTTAATTTCGCTCTTGGATCATTCATGACTAGTGCATAGACATCAATTGATTTACAATGTTCATATTTTACTCTGCAACCTTACTGAACTTTTTAAAAAGTTCTATTAGCTATTTTTAATGTATCCTTAAGATTTGTATATATCAGAAAATTCCATATTAATAGAAATTTTTTTTGGTTCTTAATTTATCATCTGGATACCCCCTTTTTTTTTCGGTGTAGCTATTTTCCTGTTGTACTTCCAGTACAAATACTCTCCTGTGTTCTTTATCTCTGGGGTTGAGCATTGACGTTTTTGTATTAAGGATGATGTTACCTGCAGTTCATTTTCCACAGATCCCTTCCGTCAATTTGAGGCAGTTGACCTCTATTCCCTAGTTTGTTCTTTTTAAAAGTTAGGTTTTCCTATGCTTTTCTGAGCTGATTGAAATACTCATGAAGCTTTTGTCTTTTATTTTGTTAATATGATACGTTACCGGGTGGGTGCCTGTGGCTCAAGCAGCTAAGGCGCCAGCCACATACACCTAAGGTGGCAGGTTCGAATCCCCAGCCCGG